AGTTCTTCAGTAGACTGTTCCATGCCCTTGGGTTGGAAATGGAGGAAGTAACCGCCTATTTCTTGCGGCAACAAGAGGAGTATCGAAAGAAAAAAAACAGCAAGCGAAGGACCATCGAATACAAAAAGAAAAGAAATAGGGAAACTTACTTGAAGCTCAAGGAGTACCAGGAAAAGCTAGAACAAGACCGAAAGGACGGCCGCATGTATTCCTCTGGTATCGCCATTGCCAAGACAAAAAAGATTCCAGCGAAGAAAAGAAAGATTTCGAAGAAAACTGATACTACCGGCAAAGTGTGTGGAAGCTGTGGAGAAGTTGGCCACTCGTGATCCAGTTTTCGCGGATGTGTCATGTGCGAGTTGACACAGTCCCGATGAATGGAGAGGATGCAGAGCCTTCAACTGACGGTCAAACAGAGATAAGCGAGCAAGACATTGCTATTGCAACTCTACATCTTGTAGATTGTATTGGATTTGGCGAAGATTCGGAAGCCGTGACTGAGGAACTGGAAGAGCTAGCCGGTGCGCACGAACAAACAATCGCTACTTCTGAAGAATAGAATTGTAGAGTAACAAATAGTTTGAGCATCTAAGTAATTGGATAATACTCTCAAATCTGGCGACACAGTAACTTTTTGCTATGTCGCGAATACTTCTTCCTTGACATGGTATCAACGCACTCCTATTTCATTTTGGAGGAAAGATCTTCTTCGAAACGTCCTCGCTGACGCGATCGCTCTTCAGTGGACAGGAAACCAGTGGCCTTCGCATTGTTGAAGTTTGGGTACACCAACCAAATACGTTGAACAACACAAGATGGCAATGGGGATGCAACTTCAAACTGGAAGATGTTTGTTGCGTACCAGAAATAGCAGCACCAGCGCTTGTGAGACTGTGTCAGGCCTTTGAAGTCATGACTGTACACTCTCCCGTTCGTTTTCTTCAAGATGTATTTCTTCAAAGAATGGAGGAGATCATTCTTATCCACCAAGCTGAGCGGGGCTTCATTCACACCACACGTCAAGAGACCATGTTCCTCAACGCAGTCACACTTTTTGGGCTTGTCGTCAACTTCATCCTCCGAATGATAATCTTCAACTGGCTCATCATCAACACAAATGTAGACATGTTTCATTGCGTCAGTGACAAACTTCTTGATGCTGGGGACCACAACAAAAGATGCATTATGAAACTCATCCCTGTCTGCTCTTGCCACCATCTCACTTGCTGCCTCAGGACGAAGAACCATAAAATTCTCATATGGGTCAGGCTTGAACTTGGTCATGAAAACGATTTCTTTATTGTCCTTGCAATGGCAAACATCCTTCGTACGGAGCCTGGTCCGCCTGATGTCACCTTCCTTCACGACATTTCCCACACGTATAAAGAACCAGCACCTCTCTACCCCGACGCAAGTTAACAGCCATGGCTATTGCGAACGCACACATCCACTGCACGGGTCTCTACGTGATCCGTGGAAGGACCGGCAGCGGCAGCCATATAACTGCTTTGGATCATGGTCGGTTGATAAAAAACGCTCGATAAAAGGAAGAATAACACGAGAGATTTCCGGGTTCCTCCTGACTGACGTGCAGACCTGGTGGTACCTTCTTAAGCACTAGCTAAGCACTAGAGGTATCTGCTTCTAGCTAGCTAGCTAATAGGGGTATCTGCTTCTACACTGGAACCTTTCTGCCGAGGTTACACAGCTCCGCTGGCTTAAATTGGTACCTCCTGCAAGGTTTCCTCCATATTGGACATATCCGCTGATAAAGGGACCCAGCCAAGTGGGAGATGAAGAGGGAATTTCACTGGGAGATGAAGACTTGGTGGGACTTCCACTGAGAGATGAACTGGGAATTTCGCTGGGAGCTGAAGACTTAGTGGGACTTCCACTGGGAGATGAAGACTTGGTGGGACTTCCACTGGGAGATGAACTGGGAATTTCGCTGGGAGCTGAAGACTTAGTGGGACTTCCACTGGGAGATGAACTGGGAATTTCGCTGGGAGCTGAAGACTTGGTGGGACTTCCACTGGGAGATGAACTGGGAATTTCGCTGGGAGCTGAAGACTTAGTGGGACTTCCACTGGGAGATGAAGACATAGTGGGACTTCCACTGGCACTGGGTGATTCACTGGGGGCAAATTGTAACTGACGATGCTGTTTCCTGTTTTCTGCATTCAATTCAATCATGTGCAGTGCATACTTTTGGGGTTTACTGGCATCTTCCCAAGTAGGAACATCATTCAAATTGCCTGTCCGGAACCACAACAGAATAGCAACATTGATACACAGCAAGATTGCCCTGGAGAAACCTTTATGAGCATGGGCACGAAACCATTCTGAAAGATTGAGATTCCACAACATGGTTGACAGTTCAAAGATTCAACAAAGGATTCAACAAAGGATTCAAATCGATCGGATCGGATCAGCTAGCAGATGCTGAATGAATAACGAGACCAACAAAGAGCTGAGCTGAGACGAGACTTGAAGATTCGATTGGCTGTGTTAGCGATACACGGCAGTTCAACGTTTCAAGGTGCTCCATGGCGTCAAGCAAGTAACTAGCCAAGTCGATCTGCACATGCGGGGCAGCCTTTCTATTACTGGACCACCATCGGCCTGGATACATGTACCATATAGCCTGCTTCAGTTAAATGTACGAGCAGCTTCGATTTTTCTGATTCAAACGCGTGCCGGCATTTCTGGAACACTCTACGAGTGCTAGTGTAGAAATGTACGAAGAAGCTCGGCTCGCGTTTGAATCAATAGAAACGAAGCTGCCTGTACCCGATCTCAACTGATGATGGTCTAGATAGTGGAGGCGGAGGTGTCTTGGCCGTTAAGATTACTATTACTTCTTGTATGCATCCCGGCACCCGTATAACCGTGCGCGCTGCTGCGCAAAATTAGAGATCATGATGATGAGAAAGGCCGATCCAACCAGTCCACGAAACCCGAATCACGTAATTCAAACTTTGTGGTTGGAGCACAGTAAACGAAACCCCAAACACGGATTACCCTTTCAGCAGCCAATCAAATCCAACGAAATAAGTGACGTGATGGCGCAGAGCATCCTCGAAGCACCGAGAATACACTCAGAGCATCCTCGAAGCACCAAGAACACTCCAAGAGTAACTCGGGTTCTCCTGAGGCGTCACAAAACTTTCCCAAAAAGTGGGGGTGGTTAGAAGAACCATGGGGTTTACAGAGAACAATGACGTGGAATGCTTCTCTTTGATTGGCTATGGCTGTTTCCTGTTACGTGATACGGGGACTGAGGGTAGTTACTATCCAGGCATTACGTACGTAATTTACGCGAAATCATCATTCAGAAATGTCTTTGACATTTTCAGATGCCCCAAAGGCTCCAAAAAAAGTTACGCCACCAGGTTGTAGACTCCAAAAGTACCCTTGCGTAACTTTTTTTCGCAAAGTTGAAGCTTCTTCATTAGCCAATCACATCTATCGCCGCCAGCCGCACCTCGGCAGTTGGGTCTTGTTCACAATTTCCAAACCATTGAAATTTTTGACTCTAACTCTAAGCAAACGTACAATCCAGTTTTCTTCTTTCATTTTGTGCTATCGACACATCCAAGGCAATGACACCATGATGCTTGATATAGTGAGACCGATACCAGCCTTATTGTGTTCCAGTGGTTGCTGCAGCTCCTCATCTTCACCTCCGGGCTCTACTTCTGTATTCCTGAGAAGCGGAATCCATCGGTGTATGCACAAAGGCTTGCTTGGTTGGATTACTGCGAACGTCACCAACAGCGTGGAACATTGAACAGAAGACTTCGAATGAGAAAGGGTTCCTTTGACAAGCTGCTGGGGATGATACACAATGACTTGCAAATCTCGGAAAGTCAGGCAGAGAAAAGGGGAGGCCCTATTATCCCCGAGTTATGTCTTTATTGCACTCTTCGATGGCTAGCGGGTGGTTCTTACCTCGATATCACTGATATTGCTGGGATTTCGCAATCATCTTTCTACCGGGTAGTTTGGAAGACAATTGGGGCCATTGTGAAGTGTCCGGAGTTGAAGCTCAAGTTCCCCAAGACAAAGAAACAGCTGAAGGCCGCCATCGCAGGATTTGCAAGCATCAGTACTGAGGGTGTAATCAACAACTGTGCTTGTGTTTGCGATGGATACCTCCTGCGAATTAGAGTTCCTTCGAAAAGAGAAACCACCAACATCAGATCCTTCTTCTCCGGTCATTACCAGTGCTATGGGGTGAACGTACAAGCAGCAGTTGATCACCAGTGTCGCTTTGTGTTTATTGCATTCGCTGCCCCAGGAGTCACACACGACCGAAACGCCATCAAGCAATGTTCTCTATTTGATTTGGTGGAGTCCCTCCCCTCAGGGCTGTGTTGCATTGGTGACGCTGCTGCCTTACATGCCCACGGAGCACATGGTTCCAATCTACCAGGGAGTGGACAAGTACAACCGAACATACGACAATTTCAACTTCTTTGCCAGCCAGTGCAGGATCAGAGTGGAGATGGCATTTGGAATGATGCAGCAAAAGTGGGGATCTTACAGCGCCCAGTTGGATGTTCTGTGAAACACACAGCTGTCATGATTCAGGCCATCTGAGCGCCTACACAACTATTGCATTGATGAGCGACTTTCCCAGAAGCAATCATCATTTGATGTGCCTGAAACCGGAATCCCTTCTTACATGCCAACAATTCCCCACAACAATGAGGGCGACCCAGTGCCTCTACAGAATGTCTTTACTGGATCAATCGATGGATACTCTCACCTTCGAGAGTTCATGGCAAAGCGAGTGGAACGATTGGGGCTTAGCAGACCAGGCAATGAACGCCCTTCCAAGCGCCGTAGGTTTGCAGAAGTCTGACTTAACACATTTCTTTATTAATCAATTACTATTAGTTACCTTTTCTCTTTCCTTTTCTTTGCTTTCGTTCTCTTCTCTTGCTTCTCTTACATGCAGTTCTTCTTCTTCATTGTGTTCTCCTTCGTGTTTCGTACTACTTGGATGTCATCTCACTCGTGTTGTCTGCTCCTGAATTGTTGGTGACGACGTCTCCAGGAACAACGCCAACCGTGACAGAGTTGGCAATTCCAAGCAAAGCTTCTAACTTCCTCAAGCGGATTGCCATGTTTCGAAGCAAAGGGAGCATAGCCTTGTTGCCAACCATTCCAAGGAATCTTTCGGCCATGCCTGTGTATTCTTTCCATTGAGCGCTGTCATCTGATTTGGTTTCAGACTTGGTTTCCACCATCGCTTGAATGGCAGATGTGGTGCTCTTGATGGATGACACTATCGCGGCCATATTCTTGGCTTTGCTTCCAGCACCAGCGGTAGCATCGTCATCATCACTCACTGTTAAGTCAACTTCGGAGTCGCTCTTCAATTTCGCACTCAAGAAAGAGGCGAACTTCCCATCGATGGATGGGTTGTAGTTGGACAGAACATGACAATAGTAGACAACCTTCGCGGGAACAGGGGCACTACTGCTTCTAATCTTCGTGAGGTTTGTGTTGGTACAATAAGTCCACATGTCATTGCTGTGCATTCCAGACATCCGCATCTGCTTCAAGCATTGTTCTCTGGCCTTCATGACATCATTCATCAGCTGTTGGCACGAAGCAAAGGTCTGAGGAGTGAAGTCATTCAGGTTTGGCTCTTCTTCCAGCACCCACTCAGAAAGACGGAGATCGCAGTCACCGTCTTTGTAGACATCAGGATCACTGTACAGCACCACACTCAACACCGGATTGTTCTGGGTATCATTGACGAACTCCGACACTTCCAACCAAAAGGTTTTGATGGGATTTCTGCCATGAGCGGCTTCGTAGTCTTTCCTCTTCATGTTATCGTTAAGCTCGCAGAATCGATTGACAAACTTTTCATGAAACACAGCATTCGCAACTCTCCACCAGGTCTGAAGCTTTTTCTCTTCCCTTGTAGAATGCGGATTGGCGATCATCCTGTCATTATAGACAGTTCCCATGTTAATTGATAAGGCGATGTGCTTTCTTGCTTCGAACAGAGTCATGGTTCCTCCTCGTCTTACACCGCATGCAGTTGCCAGTTTGCGCATTTGCGTGCTTTTGAAGGCAGCCAAGTCCAAGATCTGTTCGTTTGGGGTACCTTTGAACACTGTCAACCACTTTGCCACTTAATGCGTGCCTTGATCCGTAGACCCTTTCCTGGTGTCTACTTCGTCTTGGCAAGTAATCATGTGCTTTTTGTCCACTGTGAAGTGTTCGACAACAGTGTTGATAAGCTTTTGCTTCTTTTCTTCTTCTTCCGAGTTCTTCTTAGGTTTCTTTGCCGCTTTCTTCTTCTTTGCCTTCTCGGTTTCATCGTTTCCATTGGCTACTGCTGTAGCAACTGGGAGTGTAGGGGCACTGGCAGGCCTCTTGTTTTGAGGGCGCATATTGCTGTTATTGCCCCTTGCCATCGCGGCAACTGGTCGTGCAAGTGGAGGGAAACCAGCAACTGGTGCAAGTGGAGGCAGAGGGTAGCCACAAAATGGATCGTTCGCCCATGGAGGAGGACTTTCCGATGGGATGTGGGGAATACCGTAAGTTCCTGGCATCAGTCCTCTCCTCTGGACTGGCTCTGGAGGAGTGTCGACCAGGTCCTGGGTGAATCCATGCTGGCTCAAAGTGCTTGCTTTCATGTGTGCCTCACGAATTCTCTGTTCTTCCCTCTCCTGTTCAAGCTCCTTCTGAATCTCTTCTTCTTCCTGTGCCTCCTCGAGCTCTTGGGCTGCTTTCCTTTTGCGCTCATCTTCTGCTTCCTGCCTCATCTGGGCTAGCATCCTTTTCTCCCTGATCTTTGCCAATGTGCCGGCAACATCGGGCTCAGCTGATGAGGAGGATGCATCTGAATCTTCGTCAGCCATTCTAGTTGTGCTTTCTGGCCAATTTGTGAGATGGGAATCCAAGACGACACTCTACAACATGTAATGAACGTTCCTCCTAGCGATATCTAGCGATTGCGCAATCCTGCCATGCTACTATCTTTATCATCATGTCTAGCTATATTCATTGGCCATCTCCAACCACTGTTCCGATATTGATAGCAGTGTCGGAACAGGTCGATCGCCCCACAAGACTCTCTGTGTACCAACGACCATCACGGCTACTAGTTAAAATGCGCGTTATTGGTGTGTGCTGGCCATTGTGGTGGGCGGAGTCTTTATGGGTTGATCGCCCTGTGTTTTTTTGCACGAATGACATTTTTTGTAACACGTAAATTGGAATTGTGTTAAGAGTGGCTTGCTTACGCGATCTGTTGATTCTGTCTTAGTCATTATTGGTGCGCGTAACACGTAACCTTATCTGACTGTTAGTAACTACCCTGAGAGAGCAAAGAGGACCGGAGCTGGGCAAAAGGGGGACAGGGGAAGGGGGGGTGCATGGAGGAAAGTGAGGAAGTAGAGGGGAAGGCGGGAGGGGGAAGGGGGCAAGATTAGCCGAAGAGTGCAAGTGCACCATTGACAGCCCAGAGAGAACGGCCGTAGTTCATTGTGCCAGCAGGGATGCGAGAGCCACACATGCAGAGGTGGCGGGCCCAAAGAATAGCTAGGTTGTGCCGAGCATGACTGCAATGGTTGGGGCTAGCTAGCGGCTCGAGATCTCACGATTGAATATACGGGGGGGTTTAAAGTAGGGAAATTATCTACGGAAGCCAGCAGGGGCCAGGCTTAATTAAGCAAAGAATAGTCAAAAATTCAGAACTGCAGGTACTAGCTAGGTTCTGTGGCAAGAAACTGAGGAACTTTACGGGGGGCAAAGGGTTTAGCTTTGCGGGATCCACGGAGATATGAAGGTGACGGTGGACGTACCGTAGCAGGTGTGATAGCAGCCTTGATGCTGTATAAGGGGGTTTAGAGTAGGGAAATTATCTACGGAATGCTGTTGATTGCACATCCACAACCAACAACAATAAGACGACTTTCGGTACGGACTCTCTGACTAATAGCTACCAGGTAGCTAGACTACGAGTACTATTATTAGCCATGGACCACATTTTTCATTAGGATAGGAGAGAATCACCATGCAAAGGGCGTACCGTACCGCACGACAAGAGAACAGGTTAGGGGCAGCCAGCAGGCGGGCTCGCTGACAGAGCGCAAATTTGTGCCTCAATCCAGGCGATGTGTGTATCCACCCGCTGGTACCCGGACAGTGTCGACGATAAACATACTTGTTGCGGCGTGCCGTTGGGACCAATACCAAATGAGACCACTCCTAGTTGAGTATTACAATTTGGCACATTCGTGGGCCCGCCAGAATCCCCTACAAAGGTGAGTACATGCATGGATGCAATTTTGGTCAGTTTTTGTCAGTATAAGTGCGATGCCTCACCCCAGTAGACTATCTATCGGTAACAGGCAATTGCAAGTCAACAAATCGCCAGCCACATACATGGATCACGCACCTGGGCAAGTGTTTGGGGAGGTAGCAGCTGGTGTGGCATCGGTACAAAAGTACCAGGAGGAATCTCCAGGACGACAGCCTGATACTGGCAATGTAGCCCCTTGGAAAGTTGTGGGATCGCCTGATTCTGTAAGCCCAAACCCCATGGCTTCAGCTGTTCCTCCGAGTATGGGGATACTGTTGTCTTCATTCAGGCAAACAACATCATTGGAGCTAAAGGTGTCGAGCTTCAAAACTGCAAGATCCACATCAATTCCGAATCTTCCTTGGCAATTTGTAGGAGTTGGATTTGCCACTCCAGGACACCAATCTGGATGGATCTTAGAGTTGCTTGCGTCGACCGTAATGATGGTACCATCCATTGGAGTACTTGGACTAACCCGTACATCGCTTGGGAATCCGGCGGTGAAAAAATCGACACAAGAAGCTGCCGTCAAGACAACTTCATCCCAATATATTATAATATGTGAGACTTCATCGTATTACCCTACTGCATGCATAACGTCATCCATGCAAGCAAGCAAGCAAGCAAGCAACGAAGACGAAATCCAATAAACTTACTGTCACCCCATACCAACGAACCTCCACAATCTGCAAAACTAACAAACCAAGGCTCGGCAGGTTTGTCATTGCCAAATTTGATTGGATTCACGCATGACTCTACACACCCATTAAAAGGGGGGGCAGGGCTTGGAGCAAAGCTCGGGACAGAGCTGGAGCTGGGAACCAAGCTTGGAACCGAGCTCGGAACCGAGCTGGGAGCCGAGCTTGGAACCGAGCTGGGAACAGAGCTGGGAACAAAGCTAGGAACAGTGCTGGGAGCCGAGCTAGGAGCCGAGCTTGGAACCGAGCGACGAGCTAGGAACAGTGCTGGGAGCCGAGCTAGGAACCGAGCTAGGAACCGAGCTGGGAACAGAGCTAGGAACCGAGCTGGGAACAGAGCTCGGAACAAAGCTGGGAGCAGAGCTGGAGCTGGGAATCGAGCTGGGAACAATGCTTGGAAACGAGCTTGGAACCGAGCTCAGAACAGGGGTGGGAATCGAGCTGGGAACAATGCTTGGAATCGAGCTGGGAACCGAGCTCAGAACAGGGGTGGGAACCGAACTTGGAACGGAGCTTGGAACGGAGCTGGGAATTGAGCTTGGAATTGAGCTGGGCACAGAGCTGGGGGCAGAGCTGGAGCTTGGAACAGAGCTCGGAGCTGAGCTTGGAGCAGAGCTGGGAACGGAGCTCAGAGGAGGGGGAGGGGAGTTTGGGGAAGGGCTTGGAGCGGAACTGACTTGTTCGAGCTCGCTGCTGGTACAAATGGAAAGACCAAAGAGCCCCCCACCGATTCCCCCACCCACTGTGAACTCAAGCGACCATTCGGCGTGGTCGAACCCCAATAGGACAGATGCCCCCCCAAGAAGAACTAAAGCAGCATCTGTTTCGAAGGCAATGGCTCCACCGAGGAGATCAGATGGAGCTCCGGTAAAGGCAAAACCGATCACTGCAGATATTTCAGCTCCTAGTCCAACTTCGGCTCCAAAGCACCACCTCATGATGGCAGTGGTGCCAACATGCCCCTCCCCTAGGATCCAAAAGAAAGACACGGCTACATCAGCAATGACTCCAGCTTCCAGATGGAGACCTGCGTACACCACTGTGCCAGGGCTGGAGGCTGTTTGTAAGGGATTCTCAGACATTGAGGAGGCGCTGCAGGCACTTGCTGCTTCCTGTAATCCAGTCAAATCCAAGGGATCTGCAGCAAAGGCATCTTGAAGGCTCTGGAAGGCTGTGGTGTCCTGAAATTCTTGAAAGCTGCCATCTGAGCCAAGATTCGCCTCGAACAAGTCCTCTTCTGTGAGTTGGGCCTGAGCCAGCACTCTTTCTTTGTATTCTGTAAGATTAGCTGCAAACTCCGAGGCGGCGGCGAGAGCAAGGCAATCGGTTGGGAAGCATCGTCTGTTCAAGTACACCTTGGTGCACGTGAGGCCCAATTGACAGGATTTGCGAGCGCTGCATCGTTCTCCTAACCCTAATCCTGTAGTTCCAGGCTCGAGGAAGAGGAGATCTCTCTCTTTATCAAACTTTTTGAGCATGGCATCTGCAAAATCAGCATTGGCATCGGGATCCGGATCGAGAGCAGCATTACCAGCACCTGGCTTCACCTGTGCACCTGCAACGGGGCGGATCACCACACCTGCGAAGAGAAGGGCAACTGCAGCAAAACAGGAGGAAAGCAACATTCTGTCATCCGCAGAGAAAACTGTGACCTAGCTAGCATCACATGACATGGTGGATCGATGTTTGGAACCATGCAACCACCAAGGCTCGAGACGGTCGCTGAAAGTGATATCAACCAACCATGTGATCAAGGGTTGGCGAAATAAATGTGCATGGCCCGACATGCCGACATCCATGTTCGGTACCATGCAGGGTATACTTTTTACGCTCATCAAGAATGCTTTTTGGCACTTTGGTTGGCCAGACTTGCTGTTCTTCGTGCATGGCTGGCTCCTCGTAAAAACTACGGTACGTATATAGTACCGGTCCTGCTTACCTGGTACGAATCGAATCTCAATCGAATTCAAGAATTATTAATAATTTACTTACCGGCAAAGCTGGTATTAATAGAAAATGACTTTTCCCTATTACTAAAATTGAGCAAGTTTTGGAGATTGTGTGAGGGCCATGTTGCTTGTTTGAAGGGACGCCTTCCTTTTTGAAACGGAGGATCTCTCGTTCCAAGATCAACACGTACTAGCTAGCTAGTACGAGAGATGACCGTCACTTTTACTGGAACGGCCAATGCAAACCCTCATCGTGTAGCATCCCCAAAACTTACCAGCATCAACCATGAATACCCGCAGTCTCGATCTCGTTTGCTTTCTCGTCCTCTTTTGTTTCCCTGCATATAGAGTGTGTGCTGCAACAGCAAGACAGAGCCACAAGGGTGTTCGAGGAGGACGATCTGAACGATCTGGACGGCAGCTACAAAGTCAGCTACAAAGCAAAGGAAAGGGCGGTTCTGGCGGTGGTGGTGGGAGCAACGAACTGATTGAACTCGAGGTTTGCGAAACGGACCCTGAGGCTGCCATTGAAGAAATCCGTAACAATGGCTTTGCTTCCTTAGGTGATCAGAATTGTTACCTTGATCCAATTGGGGCTTGTCCGGGTGGCTGTTGTCGAATTGGTCTCTACTTTGCTTGCGACATTACAAACTTTCTTCCACACCTCCCTTGTGTGTGCAATGAAAACACCCAAGGGACACCCATTGGTGTCATTACAATGGCGCAAGCGTTTGGCGCCAACTCTACCAACACCACGGCAAGGACTGGAGAAGTGGTGAGTAATTTACCTTTCGTGTTTTGACTCGACAAATCGAATATTGTGCGGTGCGATTGACTAACTGCTCTCATGATTGCATGCTTCTGGAAACTGAATGCTGTACCCGTGTCGTAGCTCCCATGATGACAGATGATGGTGTTATTGAACTAACCGAACTGGTAACAGGTTTCGATGAAACGATAATCTGCTTTCGACCATGCGATACAGTACGATGTTCAACCTTTTAAATAATAAATAAAAACACCTAACCCTAGCTGTACTACGATGGTACGTTTGTACAGTGATGTTTAGGCAATGCGGTTTATTTTCAAGGTACGGCAGCACTGCTCTACTCTCCTCGCAAATCCATAATATGGTCATACTGTAGAAGTCGATGAAGCAACTGAATTGAACTGACTCAACAGTCAGAAATGGTACTATTATTTCCTGAAAGTATAGAGCGGCAGGTGTGGACGCAATCGGACAGCATGGACGTGTTTCTATAGGGAACATACCGCTCTTTTGGCGAGAGAACTATCCCCGCATCTTCAAGTCTAGTTTGCATGCAGCTAGCTATTAATAGCCAAGCAGTCAACATGTCAACATAGTTTTATTTTACATGGTCTTAACTACAGTCGTACTGGTACGAAAAAGTCTTGGCACGAATTGAATCGTCAGGGAGGGGCTAGTCAGCACTGTACTAGATTGATTTTGAGAGCTTCGAGCGATCGATACCGTATGACATACCGAGCAGTGATCAACAGCTGTGGGCTGCTCTAGCTAGATGGTGAATGGTGATCACAAGCTCTACTAGTAATATTTCTAGCTAGTAGTCGTTGCTTGCTGTGGCTGGATTGCAGCGGAGCTCGTGTTTCATCAGCGTGGAGGCAACGATTCGAACAATCGAATGATTGCATTGAATCGAATTGAATCGAATCGAATCATTCGATTCAATCGTATAATGCGTGGGATTCCACTTTTAGGTCAAGTGGAGCTACTAGACTATAGCAAGATCATGTCAATATGGGTCTATAGAGGTTGTAAACCTCCCCTCCAGACTAGGATCCAGGCAAAGGCAATGGCCCTGGTTATACCAGAGAGGCCTGCTGCATGTATCACAGACAGACCTACTTCCATCCAATTTACCGGGGGCGGGAGGGAAGGGAAAAAGGAAAATTGGTGTCGGAGCGCTTGCACTCTGTTCAAGAAAACCAAGTGAACATGATTTGTAGCTGCCCGATTAGTAGTCCTTATAGCTAGTCATCAAAACCACATAGGCACACCACTTGTGCACCCGACACTTCGTTCCACCACCTCATCCTTGGTTGGGTGGCTCTCCCGGATTACTGTCCGTCAGTCTCCTTATGGACGGCTCCCTGTTAACTCATACTCTCCGTTCTGTAGAATCTCTTCATTCCCTGTCTGGGAAGGTGGGCGATTCCACTTTTAGGTCAAGTGGAGCTACTAGACTATAGCAAGATCATGTCAATGTGGGTCTATAGAGGTTGTAAACCTCCCTTCCAGACTAGGATCCAGGCAAAGGCATTGGCCCTGGTTATACCAGGTAGGCCTGCTGCATGTATCGCAGACAGACCTACTTCCATCCAATTTACCGCCCCCGGGGGGAAAAGGGAAGGGAAAAAGGAAAATTGGTGTCGGGCGGCTGCAACTCTGGTCAGAACAAAGTGAACCTGATATTGTAGCCGCCGAAGTAGTCCTTCATAGTCATCAACACCAATAGGCACACCACCTGTGCACCCCGACACTTCGGTCCACCACCTACATCCTTGGATGAGTGGCACTCCGGGATTCCTGTCCGACAGTCTCCTTATGGTCGGCTCTGTTACATACCTCGTCTGTAAAACTCTTCCATTCCTGATGGGAACGGTGGCGATTCAACTTTAGGTCAAGTTGGAAGTACGACTATAGCAGTGATCATGTCAATATGGGTTATAGAGGTTGTAAACCTTCCCTCCAGACTAGGATCAGCAAAGGCAATGGCCCTTGGTTATACCAGAGAGGCCTGCTTGCATGTAAATCGCAGAACAGACTTACTTCCATCCAATTTACCATCCGTCGGAGCCAGACCCTCATGACTTACCATAGATATAATCCCCCGTGTCGGCCGGACAAGCCGGCCAATTACGCCGCCGACTGCCAGGGAGGTGGCGAGCTTTGCGTGTTTCTGTTGAGTTGCTTGGCTGTCTGTTTTGTTGTTGCTGCGTTTTTTTATGTCCCGACCCGGATGTAGAGTTACCTGCTTTAATCAAGCGGAAGCCGGTGTCGGTCTTGTATACGTCGATTTGATACCCGCCAGGCAGCTTGGGGTCCAGCTTGATGTCCCATAACGGCCATCTGCCAGGGCGGGCTTCTTGGATGGTACCCTTCCGACCGTTGTAACTTGTTGTTGCGGGAGATGATGATGAGGTCACCCTTCTTCCACTTGCGGTATGGTTTGACGAAGGCACGGTTCTTGCGGGGCTGAGCCGGTGTTGGGGCTGCTTGCGGATGGTGGTGGAGTGGGTGTTGCCGCACGCAGTTTGGCTTCCAGCTCTAACTTGGCCACTCGTGCCGTAAGGAACGCCAAGTCGTCTTGCACGAGGTGTACCGAGTCTCAGAACTAAAA